ATATTGCTTTTCGTATCTCTTTCCATATTTGCACGCGCGTCCGTATTGTTGGCAATGGCAGGGCAGTGGGACGAACAGACTGGGGAGTATATCCCATCCAACGAGGAGGTGGCCGAGGGTATGAGGCGCTGGTCTGTGTCACCCGGCGGGGACGGATTGGTATTCCAATGGCTCAAGGCTCAGGAGAGACAACAGTACCACATAGCTAGGGGGGTGGCCGCTCACTCTTCGAGCTGGTGGTTCCTTCCGGGCATGCCTCCAGAGAGTGCCTGGAACGAGGTGCCACCAGCTCGAGGGGAAGGCGCGGCCACCCCCTTAGCTGGTGGTATTGGTACTTTTTTCTCTCCTGAAAGGTGCTGCGCGAGACCACGTGGTTCGCGACCGCAGTGTATTTTCCGTGTATGTGGCAGGGACTCACGGGTGTATGCCTGTGTGTGTCGACCGCGGAGAGCACGCGCCGTTCAAAGGAGAACGGTATGGTCGAGAACCAGCGGCGTATGGGAGGCATCGAGACCCCAGAGTGGATGGCGTTCGCTGTATACTTCTACCCTGGCTTGGTATTCGGCAACTTTGATGGTTTCAAAGATCCAGCCGCGCAGTATCTGGGCACACTTGCGGAAGTATTCAATCGGCTGTGCACCCAAGCTGGTATAGCGAACTGGAGTTCGCACGTATTCGTCCGACCCGGCGGCTGGGTGTATGCTGGCTTGCGCAGGCTGTTGCAGCTCCTGCGTATTCACGTGCATTCCGAGGTGGTATCAGGTCTGTCATACAGGCGCATGGCGAGCCTGGATGTATTTGTGGCAACACACACGGCATCCATGGGCATGGAGCCGCCATGTATGGCTCTGTGGAATGCCTCCCACGACGTCAAGGATGGTATCACCTTGTTCCCGAAGCAGGATCATTGGTGGCACATGCCTGTATGGCGTTCTTTCGGGCAGTCCGAGTATGGGAATGTCATGGATTACCGTGTGGATCTGGGTATGCCGGCGCATGTCCAGGGCGTCCTGGCGGTATTGGCGCCCCACGGACGCACGGGCGATGTGTCCGCGAGGAGGCGTATCGGCACCATGCTGGGACACTTGGCCCCTGATGTATGGGTGCCAGGAGCGCAGCTTGCAGTATTGCGCCCGATGCGTGCCATTAGGGACAGGCGCGTGCCAGAAGACGATGAGCACACAGACTCGTCTCTTTAGTATGCTTCCAGAGCACGTATGCGTCCGCCTCGCCTTGTCCTGCTGCTCCTCCTCCTCCTCCTCCTCCTCCGGCGGGGCACCCATGGGGACAACCATCGGGACCACCATCGGAACAACCATCGCGGCAACCATGGGGACAACCATCGGGACAACGATCGGGACAACCACAACCATCAGGACAACCATCGGGACAACCATCGGGACATCCATCGGGACAACGATCGGGACCACCATCGGGGCAACCATCGGGAGAACCATCGGAACAACAATCGGGACAATCATCGGGACACTCATCGCGACAATTATCGGGACAACCACAACCATCAGGACCTCCAACCAGAGAGAGGTAGTCACGTGTATTTCGTCGACGAGTGAGCCAGCATTGCACATTGAGGCCGGAACGAGAACCACAGAACAAGAATGAGCATATATCGTCTCACAACAACGGAAACAAGTCCTGTGGTATGCTGGCGCCACGCACGTGATACCAGTCAAAATAAGGGTCTTGGCTTGTGTGGTACAGAAACGTTAAAACGTCGGAAAACGGTACACGTGCCCATTGTTGGAACAGGGGTATAAGTCGTATACTAAGCTAGTTTCCACAAGATGTTACCACAAGAAGTCATTGTAACCATGCGCCAGTGTAGTAGCCAAGGTCGTCCGCAGGCCACGAAGTGAAGTGTCCGAACGTCATAGGGCGGGAAGCTGGGTGTGGGTGGTGGCGAAGAGTCGTTTGGAAACTTGGTAGAGCTTGAACCGGCCCCCCCACAAAGTGGGGGTATTGCCCGCCTCCTATGAAAACCCTGGCACTGGTGAGAACGGAGTGTCCCCAGTCTTAAATGATTGTTGTTGTTGTTGTTGTTGTTGTTGTGTGTGTGTTTGTGTGTGTTCGTGTGTGTGTGTCGTCGTGTGTGTGAGTGTTTAGTGTGTGTTTTTTTTTGTGTGTGTTTGTGTCTGGTTGTGAGTGTGTGTGTGTCTGTGTGTCTGTGTGTGGTTGTGTGTTTGTTTGTGTGTGTGGTTGTGTGTGTTTGTGTGTGAATGGTTGTGTGAATTGTTGACGCTTCGCGAATCCCACCAGCCCATCCAGAAACGATGCCCATAGGAATTGCCTCGATCAGGGAAGTGGGCAGCACACAGAGGAAGCCATTCTGAGACATCTTGGGATATCTTGAGCCATCTTGGAGGTCATCTTGGGCTCTCCCAGGCGCTCTTGGAGTCATCTTAATCAGTGCCCCCCCAGAGGCCAACATGTGGCTAAAACCGTAGTATAATCAATGATTTGGCATTCTCGCCGAGGCCTCTTGGAGCATCTTGGGTGCCTCTGGGGGGTCTCTTGGGGCCTCTTGGGGGTCTCTTGGGAGCCTCTTGGGGGCATCCTGGGGGCCTCTTGGGGCTTCCTGGCCACCTCTTAGGACCCTCTTGGGGCGCCCTTGGGAGCCTTGGGGGCCATCTTTGGGCCATCTTGGGTGAGATCGACCACAGGAGGGGGGGGGAGAAGAATTAGGGCCCCCTCCTTCAGGAGGCCAAGATGGGGCCCAAACCCTACTAAAACCAATGATTTTGGCTTCCTCGCCGAGGCCGTTTTGGACGCCCTGACACCTCACGGATCCCCCCGGCCAGGTCCGGGGGAAGGGGTAGGGGGAGGGGTAAAACCCTCCCGGAGGGGTAAACCCCTCCCCGAAGGGGAAGGAGAAGGGGTGGAAGAGGAAACGCTCTAAACCACCGACGCTCAGAGGGCAAGTGGGATTTGTGGTTGTGTGTAGGTATGCGTGATCGTGTGTGTGCTTGTGTGGGTTTGTGTGTGTGTGTGTTCGTGTGTGTGTGTTAGTGTGGGATGGTGTGTGAGGTTTTGCGTGTTTGTGTTTATGTGTGTTCGCGTGTGTGTGTGTGTGTGTTTGTGTGTGTGTGCGTGTTTGTGTGTGTGTGTTGTGCGTGTGTGTTTGTGTATGGTTGTGTGTTTGTGTTTGTGTGTGTTTGTGTTTGTGTGTGTTTGTGTTTATGTGTGTGTGTTTTTGTGTGTGTGTGTTCGTGTGTGTGTGCTTGTGCGGTTGTTTGTGTGTGTGTGTTGGTGTCGGAGGTTGAGGGGTGAGATCGTAGTGGAGGAGACCCCCAACCGGGAAATCGTTTCGTTTCGTTCGTGTCGTGCGTGCGGGCGAGGCGAAGCTTCGTGGGCGCGCGAGAGAAATGAACCCGCCGCTGCTATGGAAAAGTCAGAACAAATGATTCTCCCCCGTCCGTCCGTCCGGCGGTGGCTCTCGGTGTCCCGCGGTGTCCCCTGGTGTCCGGTGGTGTCCCGTAGTGTCCGCCGCTGCTAGGGCGAAGTCAAGACGAATGATTCTTCCCCGTCCGTCCGTCCGGCGGTGGCTCGCGGTGTCCCGCGGTGTCCCGTGGCGTCCCGTGGTGTCCGCAGTTGCTAAGAATCAAGACACACGATTCTCCCCCGCCCGCCCGTTCGTCCGTTCGTCCGGCGGTGGCTCGCGGTATCCCGCGGTGTCCCGTGGTGTCCCGTGGTGTCCCGTGGTGTCCCGTTGAGTGAGATCGATACTGAGATCGATACTGAGATCGATGTGGTGCCCCGAAGTGTCCCGTGGTGTCCCAAAAAGTGAGATCGATAGTGAGATCGATAGTGGGATCGACTGCGGTGGTGTACCGTGGTGTCCCGTTGAGTGAGATCGATAGTGAGATCGATAGTGAGATCGACAGGTGTCCCGTGTTGTCCCGTGGTGTCCCGTGGTATCCCGTTGAGTGAGATCGATAGTGAGATCGATAGTGAGATCGATAGTGAGATCGATGTGATGCCCCGTGGTGTCCCGTGGTGTCCCAAAAAGTGAGATCCATAGTGAGCCCGATAGTGCGATCGAGAGGTGTCCCGTGTTGTCCCGTGGTGTCCCGTGGTATCCCGTTGAGTGAGATCCATAGTGAGATCGATAGTTAGATCGATAGTGAGATCGATGTGGTGTCCCGTGGTGTCCCGTTGAGTGAGATCGATAGTGAGATCGATCGTGAGATCGATGTGGTGTCCCGCGGTGTCCCGTGGTGTCCCGTTGAGTGAGATCGATAGTGAGATCGATAGTGAGCCCGATAGTGCGATCGAGAGGTGTCCCGCGGTGTCCCGTGGTGTCCCGTGGTGTCCTTATGAGTGAGATCCATAGTGAGATCGACAAGTGTCCCGTGGTGTCCCGTTGTGTCCCGTTGTGTCCCGTGGTGTCCCGTTGAGTGAGATCGATAGTGAGATCGATTGAGTCAGATGTTGGTCCCCCCCCCTCCCCCCCCCGCAACCTCCTTATCACCCGAATGGTGGTCGTATAGGTTTGTGTGTGTTTGTGTCTGGTTGTGTGTATGTTGATGTATGTGGTGTGTGTGTTGTGTGTGTGTGGTTGTGTGTGTGTGTTTATGTTTGCGTGTGTGCTTGTGCGTTGGATTGTGCGTTGGATTGTGCGTGTTTGTGTGTGCTTGTGTGCGTGTGTAGTGTGTCTGTGTGTGTGTGCGAATGTCTGTGTGTGAGTGTGTGTTTGTGTGTTTTGTGTGTGCGTGTGTTTGTGTGTGTGTTTGTGCGTGTGGTTGTGTATTGCATAAGGTCGGGTCCCTCGCCAAGCTAATGTTTCCTGGGAAGTTGGGGGCGATGTATGGGGAACTCTGCGAAGAGAGGGGGGTGCCTCTAAGAAGACTTACAGAAACGCTACTACATGGAACATTTACGGACACTTACAGAAACGCTACTAGATCCCTCCCATCCTCTTGGTCCGCGTCTGTTCGGTGCGTTCTTCCTCGTCCTCCCTCCCCTTCCCCCTTCCAGCCGGCCGGGAGATCCAACCCGCGGGCGGCCGAAGCGCGGTCTGCTGCTTGAGCGATGGCACACCATCACCCTGGTGGTGTCCCTTGCGGCGAGCCTGCTGCGGCAGCGCTAGAGACCGATTTGACCCGACTGCCTCGCTGGCCGCGGCCGCTGAGCCCCCAGAACCCCTCGTCTCCTCGATATGCCGCCCCATGCGTATGCCTGAACATGACCTGACCATGTCAAGCAGTGGCGAAGCGTCCTGGCGTGGCCATAGTCCTACCAAACAATGTTCTAGGAACCTTTTGTGACTCCCACGAAATGTTCTTGGAACATTTCTGGTTGGGACAGTCTTGTTTTATCACATCGGGTTCATGTTCTAAGACTGTTGTCTATGTTCTTAGAACATTTCTGGGTTCTAGGAACATGTCGTGGTAGGACTATAGGACTGCTGGGACGGTCGGTCCCTGCTCATCCACGGCAGACGAATTGGAGACGGCACGCGAGAGCCAGGGCAGACAGAAGCGAGAGACGACGGGGACGACGCAGGCGCGAGCGCGAAGCGCCACACGTTGTTCAAACCCCTGGCAGTCAGAGGTCGTTACTTTCAACCCGCATAGCAAGCACGGGCAGCCTTCCCAAGGGAACCCTTGCATCCTTGCCTCCATGGTTGAGGTTACAGGCTCGATGATGACTGCTGGGCGAGAAGGAGAAGTGCAGCTGCACGGGAGGTACCATCCCTGGCTTTGGAGGGGCACCGTCAACCCGCACATAGTAAGGATGGGCGACTTTCCAAGGCTGCCCGTGCATCCTTGCCTCCTCGGGCCATCCTCGACCGCTTTCGCTGGCCGCGCCCCGCGCGCAAAGTGTCGACATGGCCTTTCAAGGCCCTTGCATCCCCTTACCGCCCATCCGTATGATACGGGTCGACTGTACCTGGGCCGGCGCAGTCACGCCTATCAGGCTGAGGCTGTGATCGGACGGGGCCAGGACGAGGATAGGTCCGATCCAGAGCGTTCCGGGACGCTCTCGGGGCGCTCTGGAACGCTCTGAGAAGGCCGCGGCGCCCGATGCAACCTCCAGAGCCGCCGGATCTCAGGGATTCTCGAGTTATCCTCGAATGTATCCTCGTCCTGGCCTGGTCTGGGCCGAGGCAGAGGAGGAATGGAAGGGGGGGAGAGGGCGTCCAGGCACGAGGAGGGGGGAGGAGGAGGAGGAGGAGGAGGAGGAGGAGGAGGAGGAGGAGGAGGAGGAGGAGGAGGAGGAGGAGGAGGAGTCGCAGAAGGAGGAGGAGGAGGAGCAGCAGGAGCAGCAGCAGCAGGAGCAGCGGGAGCGGGAAGGGTTGAGCACGAAAGAACTGCATTGACATAAACTTCTGGAGCTCCGCGCGAATTCCTTGGATCGGCGCTGGGCCCTCCTGGCGGCGCCTTCAGCGCCGATCCAAGAAATCCGCACGGATCTCCGACGGTTTGTGTTTATGCGTTTCTTGTTTCTCTAAATCAGGCACGTGCTACGCATTTGCAACATCATGTCTTCTCACCGCCGTCTCGGAGTGTCTCCTCAGCCACCTCTCTTCGTAGTGATCCACTCAGTATGCGCGAGCACTGCAGGATACACGTGCCGAAGGTTTTTGTGGGGATCGCTGTAGTCAAGTCAGTTTAGTCCGGTGGGGTCCAGGACCACTTCGATACATCATATAGGGCAGTACGAGGCCCCCTTGGGACCTTACACGAGGCAATCTTGGGCCATAGTGTGCCACCATTGGAGCAAGGGCTCCCACGAGGGCGCGAAGTTATTCGCGCTTCGCGCTTCGCTGTCCTCGTTCCTTCTCCCCCTCCTCTTCGTCCTCCTTTTCTCCCTTTGGGGGGGCGGCGCGAGAGCGCGAAGTTATTCGCGTTTCGCGGAGCGCGAAGCGCGAAGTTGGGAGCCCTAGTTGGAGGCAATCCTTCTTGGTTTTTGGAATTCGATGTGGCAATGTTGTACGCTTTGACCCCTCGTCTTCCCCCCCTCTGTCTAGACTCGGCAGGAGGGGTAGTGGGGAGAATCTACAGTTATGTCGGGCCTGTCCCCCTACGGGGGGATTTTCGACGAAAAATAAGAAAATACCCCAAACATAATCCAACAATAGTCCAAAAATAGTCAGGGGATTACTTTTTGAGCATTTTTTTTTCCATCTTGGAGTATTTTTGGAGTATATTATATTTTTCGTCGAAGCTCCCCCTGTAGGGGGACAGGCCCGACTTCAATCTAAAGGAGAGCCTGTAGTTGTTATCGATGAGGTCGTGCGCTGAATCACCCGAGCCCAGAGGGCCTGTCAGAATTTTCGAAAACCATCGCAGGGCCGCCCACCATCCGATTCGGTGCGATCCGATTCGCTGGCTGGGGCCTCGATGCCGATTCGATTCGATTTGGCTCGACTCACGGGCATCGGCCAGGCCAGTCAGACGCAGGACCGCGGCGCTCCGATGTCGATCCGAGGCGGGACAGTTGGCTGGCGATCCGATCCTGTTCCGATCCGACCCGATCTCGCGATTCGATACAGCCCAGGCCTGTCATCGTAGACCACGTCTAGGGGAACAGACAATGACATAAGCAGAAAAACTCGGAGGTCCGCGCGGATTTCTCGGATCGGCGCTGGACCCCTCTCCCTGGCGCGCGGAGCGCGCCAGGGGGGTCCCAGCGCCTATCCATGTAATCGTTCATTCCCCTTTGTGAAGTCGGGCCTGTCCCTCTGCACACGGAATATTCAAAAATTGTCAAAAAATAGCTCGGCGACGATTTGTCGATTATTTAATCGCTTCGCTCATTCCGCCGGCCCGTATTGCGCACCGCGGTCGACTGGATGAGAGGTCGTCGGCCGAGTTTTGGGGCCTCTTGGGGCCTCTTTTGGGCCTCTTGGGCGCCTCTTGGGGCGTCTTGGGGGCCTCTTGGGGGTCTCTTGGGGCCTCTTTGGGACCTCCTGGGCGGCTTCTGGGGCGGAGGGCTCGATTTTTCAGTTCTCTGTATCCCTCTTGAGCCCCTCTTGGGCCCGTCTTGGGGCCTCTTGGTCCGTCTTGGGCGGCACTTGGGCCGTCTTGGGGGCCCTCTTGGGCCGTTTCGGGGCCGTCTTGGGAGCTTCGTGGGCCGTCTTGGAGCGATCTTGGGCGCCTCTTGGGTCGTCTTGGAGCGTCCGGAAGCCGAAAAAGCCAGAACGCAAAAAACATCGGAAAAACCAATGAAAATCAACGATTTTGGCCTCTTGGGGCCCTCTTCGGAGGCCTCTTGGAAGGCTCTTGGGGCGTCTTGAAGGCCTCTTCGGCTGTCTTGGGGGTCTCTTGGGCCGTCTTGGGGTCATCTTCGGCGCCTTGGAGCGCTCTTTGAACGTCTCGGGGGCCTCTTGAGCAATCTTGGGGGCCGATTATTTGTATGTTGACATGTGTTGTGTATGCTTTGAGTTTGTTATGCATTTTTCGACCAATCATCCGCCTGCAGGGGGACATGCCCGACCTTACCCTAATGATGGTAACGCTGCTCGGGCCGGACGAAAGGGGGGATCCGGAAAGGGGGGGTTACGAAATCTGCTGTATGCAGCTGGTTTCGGCCCCACCGAGGGGCCCATTCCTCGATACATAACCGCCTCCGGCGCCGGGAGGCGCCGGGACAATCAGCCACGTGAGCTGATTCTCGAGCCCCCACCTTTGCTATCCCCCCCCGCTCGCCCCGCCCGAGCTACCCAGAGCGCGCACAGCGCCTGCCGTGCTGCCGCAGGCGCTTTCGCCTCGGTGCCCAGCTTCACGCTGCCGCGAGGCGCCAGCTTCAGCTCCCAGGCGCCGCCCCGCCGCGCCGGCGCCTCTCCCTGGGGGGGGGACGCACGAGGCAGGGCCAGGGCGCGCGCAGGCCAGGCAGGCCCCGCAGGATCTGGCAGGATCTCTGCTCCCTCCTCCCTCCTCCTCCTGCTCCTCCTCCTGCTCCTCCTCTTCCTGCTCCTGCTCCTCCTCCTGCTCCTCCTCCTCCTGCTCCTCCTCCTTCTCCTCCTCTCCTCCTCCTCCTCCTGCTCCTCCTCCTGCTCCTCCTCAGGCCTCCTCCTCCTCCTCCTCCTCCTCCTGCTCCTGCTCCTCCTCCTGCTCCTCCTCCTCCTGCTCCTCCTCCTCCTCCTGCTCCTCCTCCTCCTCCTCCTCCTCAGGCCTCCTCCTCCTCCTCCTCCTCCTCCTCCTCCTCCTCCCCCCTTCCCCCTCCCCTCTTTTTCCTCCTTCTCCTCCTCTTGTTCCTCCTCCTCGATGTTGGCGTGTGCCCGAAAGGAGGGGGAGGGAGAATTCGGAATGGGACAGTGGATCGTCGTCGGAGGAAGAGGTAGCCATACCGCTAGCCTTCGTCAGTTTATCCTTTCTTCGCTCTCTTGGGAGGCCCTCGTCGCCACCGTTGGATTCGCATCGAAGTTCTGGTCAGAACGCACCCCGGGAGAGGTCTGGGGAGTAGCGGTATTGGTATCTTCTGATTTCCCCAGATCGGATGTCAGAGAGTCTAGGACTCCTTGATGGGGTCAGAACAGATGGGATCGGAGGATCACTCCGCATCGGCGATGTATTGGCGATGCTGCTCGATGTGGAGACCGAGTTTCTTCACGCCGACGGCCCTGATGCATCGGCGATGCGGCGCGATCCTCCCGCCCCATCTGCCCAGACCCCATCCAGATGGCCTCTGGAGAAGGGAGGGGCGGCGGGCGAGCAGGAGGGAGGGTCTGGAGCGGGTGCCAGTGCCTTTGCCATCGCACGGACGTCCATTCCATGTGCCTTTTTCGGTTTCGTGCGTGTTTTTGTCTGCTCGATGATCCAGGATGCTCCTCCAGGGTCCTCGCCGAGAAGCAAATATGCACACGTCCGAGGGATGCCAGGTGCCAGGGGAGGGGATGAGGACGGATGCTTCATGCAGGATTTCGGTGCCGAATGTTTCACACTGTTCTGTTGGATCGGAATGTTCTCGGGTCCTTGGTCCATCGAACAGGGTGCTCCCCTCTGCAGCGGTGGCCACGCTTCAGGATCGGCGACCTGCTCCCGCCGTTCCGACTGGCGCTCCTGCCCAGCGCGGGCCACCTCTCTGGCTCCGAGTCCTTCCTCGCCGTTGCTCCCGCTTCTTTTTTTTGTTCGCTTTCGCCTTCCGCGGATGTTTCTCCTGCTTCTACTCCTGCTCCTGCTCCTCCCCCCGCCTCCTCATCCTCGTCTTCCATGATGATCCACATCCTCTGCCTCCTGCTCGCCCGCCTCCCGCTCCTTCTCCTATGCACAAGAGGCTCCCATGTCCGATTGCGTAGCAAGTCGTGTCAAGACTTGCAGCTGCAATTTTGGTACAAAGGTCTTCCGGGACATCCCAGCCAGCCCACAGATCAGGATGCAGCGCAATGGGAAGGAATGGGTGGGAGGGTAGGCTGTCAGGTGTTGCGAGAGCGCGCCTAGCTTGTCCCCTGTCAGGTTTTCGGTCCGTTGGGACATCCTCGGCAGACTCGAAGTCCGAAGCTCGCGGCTGTTCAGGGTGTGCATGATCCACGCAGCAGGATCCGCTCATCACGCCTCTTCCCTCCTCCACCCGCCTCCGCTCCTTCTGACCTCCAGTGGATCTTGGAGCACCAGGCCAGAGGGGTCCAGCTGTCCCAGATGCATGGCAGACTGCACAATCGCGAAGACGTGCGCAGCCTCCCAAAGGTCCGCGCGGATATGTCCTGCAGGGCCGGACCTGAACGGTGTTCCTGGCGATTCCGTGGGCTGTTTCTGTTTCGATTTCCTGTTGCGGTGAACCGATAACGATAACAACGATAACAACGATAACAACGATAACAACGATAACGATAACAACGATAACGATAACGATAACAACGATAACAACGATATCAACGATAACAACGATCAAGGATGTTCTCCTGCTGTACTCGCTGGAAGTACGTGAAGGTGGATTCGAGACGCGAGCGAGGGGGAAACGGACGCAAAACGCACACGAAAAGCACCGCTCAGGTTTTGCCCTGATCTCCCGGGTCGGCGCGGCGGAGCGCGGAGCGTCCTCGTCCTCGCCCTCGTCCTCCTCGTCCTGTCCTCCTCGTCCTCCTCCTCGTCGTCGTCGTCGTCGTCGTCCTCCTCCTCCTCGTCCTCCTCCTCGTCCTCCTCCTCCTCCTCCTCCTCCTCCTCCTCCTCCTCCTCCTCCTCCTCCTCCTCCTCCTCCTCCTCCCCCTCCTCCTCCTCCCCCCTCCCTCCTCCTCCTCCTCCTCCTCCTCCTCCTCCTCCTCCTCCTCCCTCCTCCTCCTCCTCCTGGTGGCCTCTGGCGCGCGGAGAGCGCGCCGCGGGGCGGCGCCGGGCTCCCTGCCGCCGGGGGCCCCAGCTGCGCGCTGCGGGTGGACTTCGGGACGGTGCTTTGACGTGTTCGCCCTGCCCAGCCCCACGGTGCAAATTGAAGCTCAAGTCGGGCCTGTCCCCCTGCAGGGGGGTTCTCGACGATGTTTTGTTTCGTTTTTTCAAGAATAAAAAAGCCCAAAGTAGTCAAAAAGATAGTCCAAACAAAGTCTGGGGACAATGTTTTCAGCATTTTTTGTTTAACCTTTTTGGAGCATTTTTTGAATATTTTTTGTTTTTCGTTGAAAATCCCCCTGTAGGGGGACAGGCCCGACATAAGGCCATCCCCGCGGTACAAATTCAAGTGCTTCGCCTTGTCGTTTGGCAGGCTGTTTCAGTGGAGGTGCGTGAGCCGAGCGTCCGGAGGGATGCGTTGGCAGCATATTGCACGGTTGGCAACGCTGTATGGTCAAACAAATCGTTGGTGGGGCATTTTGGGCCCGAAGGGACCCAGGAAGTTGCATCAAAGCCGTCCTGGCCGCTTTGGGAGTCAGGGTCGGAGTCGTCGGAGTCGGAGTCGGCATCGGAGCCAGAGTCGTCGGAGTTCGAGATGGAGTCGTTGCAGTCGAAGCCGTCAGAATCTTCGTCGTTCTCGTCGCAGTCATGTCGGGGTGTGTTCGGGTGAGTCTGGCGTGTGTCACGATGTGTCTGGGTGTGTCTGGCGCGTGGTTTCGGTTTGTCTTGGTGTGTCTGAGGGGGGTGTCTGGGGGGTGTCCAGGTTGTGGTTCGGCGTGTGTCTGGCGTGTGTTTGGTGTGTGTGTGTGTGCGTGAGTGAGTGAGTGAGTGTGTGTGTGTGTGTGTGCGTGTGCGTGTGCGTGTGTGTGTGTGTGTGTGTGTGTGTGTTGGCCTGTGTCCGGCATGTGGTTGGCGCGTGTGTTGCGTGTGTCTGGCGTGTGTCTGTCTTGTGTCTGGCGTGTGTCTGGCGGGTGTCTGGCGCGTCTGGCGTGTGTCTGGTGTGCGTTTGTCTGGCGTGCGGTGGCGCGTCTGAGGTCTGAGGTGTTTGCCCAGGAGGTGTGTATGGGTCACCCAGATCTGTCTGGGGTGCCTTTTTTTTGCGCGCGGCTCTCTAGACATGTTGGCGCTGTTCACATATTGTCAACCCGAGGTGTCCACACGCCATTGGCGTGTGCGCGCGTACACTGCAACATCTTACTCTTCCCGTGAAAGGCAACCATACCTTCACGACATACAATTGCGAGGCCAGGATGCGTTCTGAAGCATCCGCCACCGAACGTCAACATAACAGTTTTTTGGGGGGCCTGACACAGCCAGCTTGCGTGTACGCACATAGTTGTTGGTGTAGTTGCATGCGTTTTTATGTGTCTACGCAAGCTCGTCTGCGGTAGCCAATGTGAAACTGCTTGAGGGTATTACGCCTTAGAGTTCAGAAGGGATGAGGCAGACAAAAACGGTCGGACGGCCATCGTCGTCGGAGTCGTCGGAGCCAGAGTCGTCGCCAGCGTCGGAGTCGTCGGAGTTGGAGATGGGGTCGTCGCGTTCGCAGTCGTTGTCGTCGTCGTCGTCGTCGTCGTCGTCGTCGTCATTCTGGGGTGTGTCGAGGTGTGTCTGGCGTGTGTTTGACGTGTGCCTGGCGTGTGTCTAAGTGTGCCTGGCGTGTGTCTTGGTGTGTCTGGCGTATGTAAGTGTGTCTGGCGTGTGTCTGGTGTGTGTCGTTTGTGTGTGTGCTTGTGTGTGTGTGTGTCTGGCGTGCGTCTGTCGTGTGTCTGGCGTGTGTCTGGGTTGTGCCTAGTGTTGTCTGGCATGTGTCAGGGTGTATCTGGCGTATGGTTTCTGGCAGGTGTCTGGTGTGTGTGTGTGTGTCTGGAGTGTGTCTGGCATGTGTCTGGCGTGTGTCTGGTGTGTGTCTGGCGTGCGTCTGGCGTGTGACTGGCGTCAGTCTGGGTGTATGTGGCGTGTGTCGGTGTGTCTGGCGTGTGTGTGTGTGTGTGTGTGTGTGTGTGTGTCGCGTGTCTGGCGTGTGTCTTGCGTGTGTCTTTTGTGTGTATGGCGTGTGTCTGGCATGTGTCTTGTGAGTCTGGCATGCGTCTGGGTGTGTCCGGCGTGCGTCTGAATATGTTTGGGTCGTGTCTTTTTGTGTGTGTGTTTGGCGTGTATATGGCGTGTCTCTGGGTGTGTCTGGCGTGTCTTTGGGTGTGTCAGGCCTGTGTCTGGCGCGTGTCTGACGTGTGTCTGGCGTGTGTCTGGCGTGTGTCTGGCGTATGCCTGGTGTGTGTGTGTGTGTCGTGTGTCTGGCGCGTGTCTGACGTGTGTATGGCGTGTGTCTGGCGTGTGTCTGGCGTGCGTTTGGCGTGATTCTGGCGTGTGTGTCTGGCGTCTGTTTGACGTGTGTCTGGTGTGTGTCTGGCGTGTGTCTCTTGTGTGTGTGTGTGCGTGTGTGTGTGTGTGTGTGTGCGTGTGTGTGTGTGTAAATGCGTGTGTGTGTGTGTGTGCGT